ACAATCAGCCAGTGGAACTTCAGAGGCTGTGGGTGCTCCATCACTGGAGGTTTTTAAGGAGAGACTGGACAGCCACTTGTCTGAATTGATGTAGAATCTCCCGCTTGAGCAGAGGGTTGGACTAGAAGACCTCCAAGATCCCTTCCGGCTCTAGTCTGACAAATATCCTGATCCTAACCCTCAGCCTAACCTTTGATGGTATTTCTTGATGGACAATATATCTAACCCCTGGACTGAAAGAGGGACAATTCAACAGACAGAGAAGTTGTCCAAAAGAGTGGGGTTTTAATTTTTTTTAAAAAACAACACACTAGCATAGGAAACAGCAGATTTACAGGTTTACAGACCACTACTCTTATCTGTGCTAGAACTGGCTGCAGAACTAAGTTCAGAAAAGCAACTCAGCCATAACTTTACCTGAAAGAATGAACAACGTAACAGCAGTAAAATTATTCTCTGCCAAAGTTGTTCCAGAAAGAAAAATCCAACATATTGGGTGCATTTAGAGCAAACCGAAAGCTTCACAGGGACATTTACATTTGGCCCTGACTTCCCACGCAAAGCACAACCGCAGAAGGAAAACCCACAGCCACATTGTCCTGGGTTACAACTCACAGCGGCAAAGGATTGAAGGACGGCTGGCTGTCCCTAAGGCGGGGGGGGGGGGTGTGCTTCTCAGACCCTGAAGAGGGGCTTCCTTCACCTGTCTCTGCTTCCCCACTTCTGTCTCCCTCCCCTGCAAGCCCACAGCCCTCCCCCCTCCCCCAGGAACCCTCAGGAACGAAGCCTGCACCGGCAACTGCCTCCGCCAGGCACTCCCAAGTGTGTGTACTGAAAGAACACAGAGCACATCTGGAAACTCCCCTGGCACACAGCGCCAAAGACGTGGGGTTTGTTCCAAGTCTGAGCTCAGAAAGGCTTGGGCCGCCTTGAGTTCGCCTCCTGCTCAATTCCTGGCTGCTCCCAAGGCAGGAACACTGGAGTTACTCTCTTCTGGGGGGGGGGGGTGGATGGGTTCGCTTTCCCCTCTAACCTACAAGTGGGACCCTCCCAACTGCAGGCCAGTCCCAAGCCTGACGGGAGAAGGGCAGGAAAGTGGACGGACGGCCGTCCAGCTCCGGGCCTGCACGTCCTTATTTCCGGGGCAGGCGCCCAGGTCCTGGCCGGCCCCACCCTCAGGGCACCCCGCGGGCGCTCCCTGCCGGCCCCTCCGCCCCGGGCCCTGGCGGGACGGAGCGGCCTCCTCCCACCGCCCTCTCTCTCACGCTCTGGGCAGGGGCGCTCAGGTGAGGCGGCCAGGTGCAGAGGGGGCCGCGCTGAGCCTGGCCGAGGAGGAGGAGGAGGAGGAGGGGGGGGGGGCCGGGGGCGCTCCGCGCTCGAGCAAGGCGGCGCTTGGCAGGCGGCGGACTGAGGCTAAGCCGGCGGAGCGGCGGTGGGAATGCGAGTGTGAGAAAGTCAGTCAAGCGAAGGGAGGGAGGGGAAAGGCCGCCAGGGCCGCCGGCAAAACGGCCCCCCTCCTCGCCCCCTCGAACTCAGCAGCGCGGGAGCCGGAGCCGGCCGAGGGAGGGAAGGGAGCCGGCCGCTTCCCCGTCGGGCAGCAGCCTCTGTAGGCACAGAATCGGCTACAAAGGCGGCGGCGGCGGCTGCGAAGGGAGCCGGTGGGCCCAGGCGAGGACCCGGGCCGGGCCTGCCGCCCTCGACTCCCGGCTGAGCTGACCGGGAAGGCTCCTCTTCTCCGCAGCCCTCGCAGGCTCTGGGACGGGTTGCCACAGAGAACCGGGGCTGGCGGCGGGCAGCCCCGCTCCCAAGGCCAGCCCAGGCAGCGCCACCCCGCCCAGCGCGCCCTGCCCTCTGGCTGCGCCCTGGAGCTCAAATCTAAGGGTCCCCCCCCCCTTCTGGGCTCCGAAGCAGCTCTCGCTCACTCAGCAGGGAGGGAACCATGGACCCGAATTTCCGCGGTCAGCCACCCTCTCACAGACCTCCAAGCAACCGCAGCTGGGGGTCTCAGGCTCCGCAGCACCTTTGCGCCACACTCTTGACCAGCCCGGAGGCCTTTCGCCTCTCTCTCCCCCAGCTGCAGGACTGGCAGCGGCGTGCAGATGCTCCAAAGCACCTCGCCTTGCTGCTCTCTACCTTCCCAGGGGTTTGCTTCCCCCCCCCCAGGCAGTAGCCAAAAGGCAGGCCGGGCTTTTTGCCTCTGCAGGAGAAGGGCGGCCCTCTTCCCCACCCAACCGAACGGGGGGGGGGGGGAAGAGAAAGTGTAGACTTCAGCCTGGCTGACCTGTAGCTCCCTTTCAGCCGGCTGGGGGTCTCCAGAGGCATTTCAATCAGATGCCCCCAGGACTGGCTCCAAAGCAGACCGAGGGAAGACTTTTAATTCAGTCCCGTGCATGTTTATAGCAAAGGGGGCTCAGACTCCTGCTTGCCCATTAACTGGGGGTGAAAGGCAGAGCAAGAAGGAGCAAGGCCTCCATTCTCCCCCAAATCTCATGAACGTCGGGCCAATGAACTGGAAAGGGGATGAGAGCCGGTGAGATTCCAAGGCCACCTTTGCCCCCCCCAGAAGGCCAAGCAACGCTGCCAGAGAAGGGGGGGTGGCAGATCCTGCGAGCTCCAGTGGGTCCGCCCTTACAGCTTGGGGGGGGGAGGGGAGGGCAGAGGAAACCAGGGGGAATTCAGTCTGTGGGAAGGAACCGGGCTGCTGGCTTGGCAGAACCTCAACCTGAAGACTGAGCCCCCAGAGAGCAGCCCCCTCCCCACATTATGATTCTAGCCCCCAGGTGAGCAGGAGGGCTGCATCTGGGAGAGCCAAGACCTTCCAGGAGGCAGATCCCAGATCGAGTGCCCTGTGGTGGCTCCTCATTGGTCCTGCAGGAAGCGGCGGGGGTGGGGGGGTGGGATTTGAACAGGATCAGACACTGTCCCTGTTTTTGAGCACCTCGTGGTCTGTTGAAGATGGGAATCTGGCACTCCAGGCTGGTTGCAGGGCAGTTTTAGCTCTCCTCCCTCCTCGCAGACCCCTCTCAGGAAGTGCAAGGTGCTGATTCAGCCCCACCCCCACCAGCAGCCCCTCCTTTGGATCTGGACTAAGAAGGAGCCACACGGAGCCCCGACTGAGCCACAACTGGAGCCGAGAGTTCTGGAGTTTTTCAAAAGAAGGCTGCACAGTCCTTTGTCCAGGATGGTGCAGGGCTCCTTCCTCGGCGGCGGAGGGGGCGGGGGGATGGACTAGAAGACCTCCGAGGGCCCTTCCGGCCCTAGAATCCTATGCTTCCATTCTGCTTACCAGGCTCGATTAGGACGGAACTCCCCAGCCCCGAAGCTTTCTACTTGCCGGCTGCCCCCCCGCTGGTTTTTGTCCACTGAAATCAACAGCTCAGTCATTACACGTGAAACTCGGCATATTATTTTAATTAGCTTTGCTGCCTTGAATGAAAAACATTCATCCGTTTGATCGTTTCGAACACTGAGCCGGAGGGGGGGGGGAGACGCCCCCCCCCCCTTGTTAAAGGCCTGGTGAACGGAACCGCGGCTTTCTCAAGCCTTCGCGGGTGATGCGTTCCCACAACGGCGGTTCCCGGTCCAGAACCAACCCGGCTCCAATCGGAAGCCGCGGCCGAGAGCCCGCCAGGACCGAGCGGCCCAGAAGCCCGAGGCGAGCCGCTGAGCCCCGGGACCTGCCATTTCGGGGGGGGGGAGCTACTTTGTGCCCCCTTCCCGCTTCCCTTCCCTTCCCGGAGAATCCAGCAGCGCCGCCGAAAGGGGAGGCCGCTGCCCCGCTGCCCTCTCCCGCCCGAGAGGCCGCATTCCTGGCTTCCCTCCCCGGGAGGCGGGGTTTTCCCAGGCTCTGGCGGCGGCTGGGGCGACGGGCCCGGCTTCCCTCCCCGGCCGCCGAGCCGCCCAGCGCCCGCCCGCCCGCCTCGCCCTTGGGGGCGGCTGCGGCTGCGGCTGCGGCTGCGGGAGACCTTCCGGCACGCGCTTCGGGGCAGCCAGGCGGCTGGAGCCCAGGAGGGAGGCCCGAGGGCGGCCTCCCCCCTGGATGGCAGGAAAGCCCCTCCCTGCCCAGGCTCTGCCCACGGCCTCCCACGCGTGGCGCCCGGGGCCGGCTGCCGGGGCTGCCCTGGGTGGGGCCGGGAGCCTCGCGTGCCGCCGAGGGCATCGACCTGCGCGCCCTCCTGGGCCGGGCGGGGCGGCAGCGCCGCGAGGGTTAAAGCGGGCGCCTGATTGACAGCGCGGCTCCTGGTGCCCGGGGGGGGGGGCAGGCGTGCGCCATTGGCCGCCGGTGGCTGCGCCGAGCAGCCAATGAGTGGGCACCGTCCACGAGCGGGGCCGCGTGCCTCCCGCTCCCATTGGCTGAAAGTCACTGTGGGAAAGAAAGTTCGGCGAGTTTCACACGAGCCGTTCGCGTGCAGGGCAGGTTATAAATAGCGGCCGCCAGGCAGGGAGCCGGCCGGGGTTGCGCGGGGTTGGGGGCGGCTGGCTAGCCCGGCACCTCCGGCCGCAGGGAAGCGCGGAGGGCGCGCGCCGGACCGGGAAGGGCCACCCAGCCGCAGCCTCGCCCGCGGGGTTCGCTGCGCCGGATCCTGAGTCGGATCCCGAGTCGCGCCGGCTCTCCCGCGGCCACGTCGGACGCTGCTGGGCCACGATGCCCGCCGACCCGATGGAGAAGAGCTCCTCCTCGCCCGCGGCGGCCACCCCGGCCAGCGCGCTCGCCACCCCGGACAAGCCCCGCACGGCCGCCGAGCAGCGGAAGGTAAAGGGGGAGCCGGGCGGGGGGGGGCAGAGGGACGGGGGCGCCTCTGGGCGGCTCGGCCCACCGTTGCGCTCGCCTTCTCCCCGCAGTCGTCCAAGCCCATCATGGAGAAGCGGCGGCGCGCCCGGATCAACGAGAGCCTGGGGCAGCTGAAGACGCTCATCCTGGACGCCCTCAAGAAGGACGTGAGTGGCGGGCAGCCCACAGGTGGGGGGGCAGGGGGGCACAAAAGGGCTCAACGAAGCTAAGGAAGGCCCCCCCGGCCCTAGACTCCTTTTCCACGGGGGGTGCAGCCTGGGGCGCTGCAGGGCGGGATCCGCAGATGGGCGGCTGGGGCTGGGGGGGCGCAGCGAGGGGTTTCCCTGGTCCTCTCCCCACCCCCACCCCCACCCCCACCCAACGTCTGAGGTCCTCAATAGGCCTGTGGGATGGACGATCCCCCCCCCAACAACCCCCGGGTGGGATTCCTTGTTTTGAGGGTGGGGCGTGTCATTTCTTCCCCCCACTCCACCCCCCCGGGGGCTCATGTCCCTCCTGCCTCCTCTTTGCCCCCAGAGCTCCCGACACTCCAAGCTGGAGAAGGCGGACATTCTGGAAATGACGGTGAAGCACTTGCGGAACCTGCAGCGGGCCCAGATGACCGGTGAGTGGCCGGGCGGGCGCCCCCCCCCCTTCCCTCTTCAGGGGTGACTCCTTCCAGACTTCCGCCTGTGGTTTTGAATGCCATCCAAGCTGCCTCTTACTGACTTGGCTCAGGCACGCGTTCCCACGGTCTGCCTCTCGCAGTATTTATAGCCGCAGCTCCAAGTCGCTCCAGTTCCGGAAAAGAGGCGGGGGGGCCAGGAGGAAGGGGGGCCTTTCGCAGCCCGGGGGAAGGAGGGGGGGCAGCCTCCTGCCGCTCGTGAGTGTCCAGGTTGCAGAGGTCCAGATGCCCGCAGGCAGGCCGGCTTCAGACCTTCCTCCTTGGCGGGGTGGGAGCAGCTGCCAGTCAGAGGGGCCCGTGCTTAGCAGCCTGGGGGGTCGGGGGAGAGGGGTCCGGAGCTGCTGCTGCTGCCGCCGCTGCAGCCTAGACGGCCGACGGCCCCTCCCCCTGATTGCAGCCGCTTCTATTCCTCCCTGCAGCGGCGCTCAACACGGATCCCTCCGTCTTGTGCAAGTACCGAGCAGGTTTCAACGAATGTCTGAACGAGGTGACTCGCTTCCTCTCCTCCTGCGAGGGGGTGAACACGGAGGTCCGCAACCGGCTGCTTGGACACCTGGCCGGCTGCCTGAGCCAGATGAGCGCCTTGAACTACCCCGCCCCACAGTCTGCAGCGCTGCCCCCGACTCCCGGCGCCCAGCCCGGAGCCTCTTTGGGGCAGCCTCTGGTACAGATGCCCGCCGGCGCAGCGCCCCCTTCTGGCAGCGTGGCTTCCTGCAAGCTCAGCAGCGCGGCTGGCGAGAGCGCCCAGGTGTGCGGCGGCTTCCAGCTGGTGCCGGCGTCGGACGGGCAGTTCGCCTTCCTCATCCCCAACGCGGCCTTTGCACCGCACGGCAGCGCGGCCGTCCCCCTCTGCGCCGGCGGGGGTCTGAGCTCAGGCCCTCCCCCTGCCGGCATCTCGTCGGGATCGGTTGCCCCGTCGCTCCCGGCAGACTCGCTCTGGAGACCCTGGTGAGCGCTGGGGACCAGCCCTGGCCCCGGACTCAGCGAGCAGGCCGGTGGGAGGCCCCCCAGAGACTGCCCGCTTGGCTTCTTCTCCCCACCCCCCACCCCCGCCTGTAAATAGGACCTACCGCTCCTCTTGGATTGTGCCTCCGTGTCTTTCCACCTTTTTTTTATTTCTAAGCAATACCAAAGATTGATTTGTTCATATACAAAAAGCCTCCCCTTCCTTTTTTTGGAAGCCTTGATAGAAATAAAGACTTTGACCATCACTCAGGCTGCGCGGGGGGGGGGGGGGGGAGATGCTGCTGCAGGGGCTACAGGCAGGGTCTGGATGGGGGAGGGGGCTCATCTGCAAGATCCTGGCCTTCCACCTAAACGCTGACAAGAGCTGCACCTTCCCAGGAGTGCTAATGGTGCTGGGGGGGGAGGGGAGGTCCAGGCTGCCCCCCTCCGGGCTTTTTCTCACAGTAACCTCTGACTCCTGCCCAGGCCCAGGAAGAGAGGGTCTGGGGGACAACTGAGCCAAGGGGGGGGAAATCTCTTTTAACTGAGCAGGGCCCCAGGGATCGCTCCACATGGCTGTCCGTGGCACTCCCACGGCCACACAGATCTCTTCCAGACACTCTGCAGGCTGACTGTCCTGCAGGCTGACTGTCCGGACAAGAGGGACCATCAGCAGCGAATGGATTAGGAGCAGCAGCAAGTGGAGGATTCAGGACAGGACATCTTCCCCCCCCCCCGAAAGAGCCCCCCCCCCACTTCCACGCCTGCCATGTTGGGAAAGCAGCTCAGGGCTCCTGAGGAGACCCTGACCAGCAGCTTCACCTGGGCGGCTCTTGAGGAGCAGGGGGAAGTCCAGGGGGGCCCTTTCTGCTGATGGTGCACAGAGCCTCCATGATTAGACCCAAGCCTCTCTTGAATCATGCTTGCTGTCGTGATGTGTGAATCCATCCTACAGTACTTGAGAAAAAGGTCGGAGACAGAGGTTCTCTGGGCAGCCCTTGCAGGGCAAAGGGCTTCTGGCACACGAAAAAGAGGGTGGCCCAAATCCTGTCACTGGTGGCCCAAGCGGGAGCTTCTGATGTTCCTCCGGTCACAAAGCTGCCACTGGCTGAGCGGCTGAGCAGTCGCCACTGTGGGAAAGAACAGGGTGGGGTGTCACTGAGAGGAAGAGAATGCCAAGGTGGGGCTCTTTTCAACATTGAGCAAACAGCTTGTAAGTTCCTGGGGGGGGGGAGGCCTTCAGAGTTTGGGCTCAGCTGGAAGGTGGTGGAGCAGCTGGCAGATGATCTGAGGATGTGGACCCTGGGCCCAGCCTGCTCTCCCTTGGCCTGGCAACCCCACAGACGGGGACCTCTTGGGCTTCCCTGAGCACAAAGGTTAACCCACATCAAGGCTAAGATTAACTGAGATTAGCTTGCACACACGCAGCCTGCCGAAGCCTGTGGCCTGAGCAGGGCAGGGGCCAGGCTGGCTGCTGGAGGCCTCCCAGTCGGAGGCAGAGGCCCACCCTTTGAGCTACCCGACAGAGCCCTGAGGGTCCCTCCCCTCCTGCAAGGGCTGCTTTCTGCCCGGGGCGAGGGCCGTGCACTACAGCCCCTTCCTCCCCCCCCCCCCCGGGCCTGGCGTGCCTTGATCTGGCCTGTTTTCCTGGCCCGGTGCCTCTCTGGAAGCGGGGAAATCCGGGCCCCGCTCTCCTTGGCCGGCGCGCTTCCTCCACGCCCGTCCTGGCCCGGCTGTGATGATTTAACACCCGCCCCATCTGGTTGTGATCAGCCCCCGCCTCCCCTCTGCCCGCTAACTCAGACAAGATGTGGCTGCGGAAGCGCGGGGGGCAGCCGGCACTCGCCGCGTCTCCCCGGGAGCCCTTCCCGCCTGGCCCCTGCCCTGCTGGTCACGGCCCATTTGCAGAGGAGATGGGCGAGCCCGATAAAGGGCCGGCTCGGCTCCCCCATCCCGGGGCCGCCTCCGCCCTCCGAGGTTTGAAGCGCGGTTCCCCAGACTCCCGCCCTCGCCAGGGCCCGCGGAGTCGGCCAGGTGCCTGCCGGCATTCAGGTGCTGGCAGAGGAATGCTGGGGGGGGGGGGGCGAGCGGAAGGGGCTCCGGCCCTGTCTGCACAAGCCCACGCCTCCCGGGGCCTCCACTGGCGGGGGCTGCTCGACGGGGCCTTCCCGGCAGGGCTGGCCCGCTTCCCTCTCCCTCGCGCTCCCGCTCCCCGCCCCCACAAAGCGCTGCATTCCGTCAGTCGCTGTCAGAGGGGCGCTGGAGACCCCTCCTCCCCCTCTACCTCGCGGGGATTCAGGCTTCTTCCGCCCGACGCTGCCCAACCCCCCCTCCCCGCTTAGCGTTCGCGGGGCCGGGGGCTGCTGGCGGCTCAGGTTGCCGCTCTCCTCGTCCCTCGGGGGGGGGGGGGGACGCTGATTCCTTGTCCGCTACGTCGCAAGGCGGACGGCCCAACCCAGGGATGCATCCCGCTCCGACAAAGGGCGGGGGGGGGACCCAATTCCACAGTGGTGGAACAAGCCGTTCCCGCCCAAGGAGGGGGGGCACAAGAGGAAGGCTCCTTCTCTTTTCTCCCCCCCCCCAGCACAGCCTCAGCCTCCCCCCCCCACTCTGGGGACCTCCGGAAGAATCGGCCCCAATCACCACGGTGTGGAAACGGGCCCAGATTGGGAGGAATCCAGACCCCCCCCCAACTGTTGCTTGGGCACAAGACCGCTTGGCTGGAAGGAGGGCAGGACCGAGTTGATTGCCACCCTCTCTTCCCCCCCCCCATCTGTGGCACACGCATGCACGTGCACACACACACACACACACACAGCCCAGCTTGGCTGCCCAGTTCCTTGGCCACAGCTCAGGGGAGCCCCTGGCCACAGTGCCGGCCTGGCCCCCTCTGGGCCCTCGCCCTGCCTGCCGTTCCCCTGGGCTGGGCAGCCCCCCTGCTCTGGCCGGACCTTTGCCTCTCCCCCACAGCCGACCTCTGGGCAGGAAACAAGGACGCCCGGTGACCTCCGGAAGAGGCGAGGTCGTGAGAAAGGGGCAGTGGGCAGCCTGCCAAGCAAAGGGTGCCTCTCAGAGACACACACACACACAAGACACACACACACACACACACACACAGAGGAATGGGAAGGGCCCGCTCCCCTCCAGGCTGTGGAAAGGCCGGGCTCAGGCGGAATAGATGTTATATGCAAAGTCCTGCTGGGCTTCGGGGGGGGGGGGTCTTCCCTGGCAGAGGCCCTTCTGAGCCCCACTTCTGAGGACCTGGGTCAGCTGGTGGGCCCGTCCCTCTGAATGCAGGGAGTCCTCGACTCACAACGGTTCGTTTAGTGACCGTTCAAAGTTACAACCACAGTGAAAAAAGTAACTCATGACCATTTTTCAGACTTACGACCGTTGCAACATCCCCAGAGTCAGGTGATTTACATTCAGATCCTTAACTGACTCACACTTATGATGGTCGCCTGTCCCGCCAGGGTCACGTGACCCCCTTTCGCGACCTTCTCACAAGCAAAGTCCATGGGGAAGCTGGATTCACTTAACAATCGGGTTACTAATTTAACAACCGCAGGGATTCACTTAGCAACTCTGGCAAGAAAAGTCATAAAACGGGGCAAAACTCACTTAACTGTCTAAGCTTAGTGACAGAAATGTTGGGCTCAATTGTAGTCGTAAGTCGAGGACCACCTATAATGCATTTCTCCAAAAAAGGACTTTTCCAGGAAAGCTGAAGGAAAGTAACATCCAAGTAGCAGCTTTCTTCTGAAATCTTAGCTGCCCCCCTTCTTTCTTTCTTTCTTTCTTTCTTTCTTTCTTTCTTCTTTCTTTTTCTTTTTTTCTTTTTTCTTTCTTTCTTTCTTTCTCTCTTTCTCTTTCTTTCTCTTTCTTTCTTTCTTTCTTTCTCTTTTTCTCTTTCTTTCTCTGTTTTTCTTTCTTTTTCTTTCTTTCTCTTTTTCTCTTTCTTTCTCTCTCTTTCTTTCTTTCTTTCTTTCTCTTTCTCTCTTTCCTTCCATGGGGAAGAGTCCTCTCCCACTGTCCAGTTAAAGCCCATTTAACAGGAAGCCCATTTCCCTCCCTTGGAAATGCTCCTCTTTTCCTTGTTAGGGCCAGAAACACCCCCCCCACACACACACACACCGCCCCCCAGCACAGGGCAAAGCTGGCACCTTCCCCAGGGGCTGCCCCGGGAGTCCACTTTGCCCTTGCCAGCCCAGCAGGGCCTGGCAGGCGCTCCCCCTTTCGCACCTTCAATCAGCCAGCGGGGTTATCTGGTTGGCAATCTGCCAGAGCCCCCCTCCCCCCCCACACGGGCAGGATGTTTACAGAAGGAGGCTCAGGTTATCTGGAGAGGAGGGGGGAGGAGGGGGAGGGAGCGGAGGGGGGGGAGGGGGGAGGAGAAGGCAGCATTGTGGTTGCTACACAATGGAGGGAATGGAGTCTTGTGTGACCCAAAGTTCTCTCACGTGCAAAACTCTCCCTGTACCCAAAACTGATCCAGGAAACACAAACAGAAAACCTGGACTCACACCTTCCAACTCAAACACACACCGCTTGCTGTGATCTCCAAAGCACCCAGAAGGCAGGAAAAGAAGCAACGGATGGAAACCCATCAAGGAGAGAAGCAGCCTGGAATTAAGGAGAAACTTCCTGACAGGGAGGACAACAGACGTTGCCTCCAGAAGTTGTGGGTGCTCCAACATTGGAGGCTTTTAAGAAGAGACTGGGCAGCCACTTGTCTGAAATGGTCCAGGGTCTGCTGCTTGAGCAGGGGGTTGGACTAGATGACCTCCGAGGTCCCTTCCAGCTCTGTCCTTCTGCTATCAGAAAGGACAAGAGCAGCACCTTAATGGGGTGGATCAAGTCAGGCAGCTGCTTGGGATCAGCACGAGGACTAGGCTCATTCTTGCAACCCTGTCCCTTCCCTTCCCTCTTTCCTTTCCTTCCCTTCCCTCTTCCCTTTCCTCTTTCCTTCCACTTCCTTTTGTCTTTCCTTTCCTTTCCTTCCCTCTT